GGGTCCTGTGTCGTTCCTCCGCGAAGAGGGGGAGCGACATAATGGTGCCATGACTCGGATATGAAGCCTAGGCAGGGTCCTGTGTCGTTCCTCCATGAAGAGGGGGAGCGACAACCATTAGGATCTGGCCAGTGTGGATTTTACCAGCCCAGCACTGAGTTCCAATTCAGAGTCCTGTAGCTCCTTGCCTTCTGCCCAAGGTCAGGGGAGGGGCACTAAAGACAACCTTTTAGCCAAGCAGGTTGTCACTCAGCCACATCACAAGTGGGTTTCACAGTTCCTGGGCTGGGTAGTCTTTGGGGTGCAGGCTAGACCCCTATGAAGCTGGTAGTAATATATGCTGAAACAAGTCTGTCTCGCTGCAACACAGAGCTCCAATGCCAGGGGAAATCTTGAGGCTTCATTTGCAAGTTCTGACCTGTAGGTAGAAGCCTTTGGGCTTCGCCAGGTGCTGGGTCTCATTGCTGCCACCTGGCTCTGAGCTGTAAGGCAAGGTCCTAAGTTGCCTCTTCTACCCTACTCCTGTTTGGCTTGTGTCTTGCTCTGCTTTGTTCCAGAGATTGGTGGGTAGTGGTATTGGAGCTGGTCCCTTGACCTCTGGGTTAATGCAAGTCCAAAATCTTAGTCTGTGGATAGGGGCCTGGGCGCAGGGCTGTAGGTCCCTTTTAGACACTGATTTTTATCATGGCGGGCCTTGTGCTGGATTTCAAGTCCAAGGACTGGGCTTAATTCACTCTTCCTATCCTGAGAGCATGGTGAGCAGTGACAATGGCAATTCTTCCTTTCTTGCTTTCATTTTTATAAAAAGTATTTATGGGGACAGCACTGTGCATAGAGGTATAGTGGCCGCCTACAGTGCCAGCATCCCATATGGCTGGCAGTTCAAGTCCCAGCTGCTCCACTTCCAATCCAGTCCCTGCTAATGCACTTGGAAAAGCAGTGGAAAATGGACCAAGCACTTTGGCTCCTGCATCCTCATGGAAGACCCGGAAGAAGCTCCGGGCTCCTGGCTTTGGATTGGCAAAGCTCCAGCTGTTGTACCCATTAGGGGAGTGAAGCAGTGGATGGAAGACTTCTCTCTGTCTCTCTGTGTAACCCTGCCTTTCACTTAAATAAATAAATAAATATTTTAAAAGATTTATTTATTAATTTGAAAGGCTCAGTTATAAGGAGGGAGGGAGGTAGCGAGGTAGGGAGGGAGAGAAGGAGGAATGTAGGGAGAGATAAAGAGAGATATCTTCCATCCTCTGGCTCCCTTTCCAAACAGCCACAAAACCTAGGGCTGGGTCAGGCCAGGCCAAAGTTAGAAACTGTGGCTAGGTTTCCCATGTGGGTGGCAGGAGCTGAAACACAAGGGACATCTCCCACTGCTTTGCCAGGCACATAAGCAAGGTGCTGGATTGGAAGTGAGGCACCCAGGACTTGAACCTGTGTCCACATGGGAAGCCAGCTTTGCAGGTGGCGGCATAACCTGCGTGGCTTAACCTGCTGCACCACAACGCTGAGTTGATGCACAAATAGATACTCAAATTAGTGACTCTGTGGCAAATGGATCACCCCAGTGTCTTCTTTCTCAGCCGTCATCTTGCTAGAAGCCTACATTTATTAATGTTTGCCTTATGGTTTAACATATGGTCTATCCTGAAGAATGTTCCATATGCACTTGAGAGCAATGTATATTCTGCTGTTGTTGAGTGTGGTATTTATAGATGCCTGTTAGGTCTTGATTGTTTACATTGCTGTTCAGTTCTTCTGTTCCTTTTTTGATCTTGTGCTTAGTTGTTATATCCACTATTGAGTGTGGAGTGTTTAGGTGAAGTCTCGAACTACTATTTTTGCATTTCTGTCTTCCTTTCTATCAGTTTTGTCTTCATGCACAGTTATGTATTGCTTAATGACAAGGGTACATTCTGAGAGATGCATGGTTAGGTGATTTTCTTGAATATGACATCATAGGATCTACTAATACAGCTTAAAACAGCTATGATTTCATCAAGAGATAAAATCTTATGGGATCACCTCTCTCTCTCTGTGATCTGTCACTTATCAAAACATAATTGTGTTATGTGAGACTATATTTTGGTTCTTGGTCCTTAGGCACATATATAATTATTGTTTCTTTGTGATGGGCTGACACTTTTATCATTACAAAATGCCCCTGTTTATCTCTGCTATAATTTACAAAGTCTGTTTTGTCTGATATTTGTGACCCACTCCAGCTTTCTTGTGGATGCTCCTAATATATCCTTTTTTTCGCCTTTAAAATGTCAGTCTGTTTTAAACTTTGAATCTGAAACTTGTCCCCCTCCTATAGACTACAGAGTCTGACCTCACTCTTACCCAGTGTGTTCATCTCTGGACCTTGAGGGGCTTGTTTATTCTATTTCACGTCTGTTTTCCTCTGATAGTCCCTGTTTTCTGATTCTGCATTGTTAAGGAGTTGCATTTTAAAAACAGATTTATTTATTTACTTGAAAGTCAGATTTAGGGAGGGAAGGAGGGAGGGAGAGAATCTTCCATCTGCTGGTTCACTCCCCAGATTGCCAAAATGGGCAGTGCCAGGTCAGGTTGGAGCCAGGAGCCAGGAGCTTCATCCAGGTTTCCTGCGTGGGTAGCAGGAGCCCAAACACTTGGGCCATCTTTCATTACTTTCCCCAGGCCATTAGCAGGGAGCTGGATTGGAAGTGCAGCAGCTGGGACAAGAAATGACCCTGATATAGGATGAAAGCATTGCAGGAGATGGCTTTACCTGCTATGCCACAACACCAGCCATTAAGCAGATATTTTCTATTATAATATGTTAATTCCCTTAGGGATGTATGCTACAATTTTCTTGACAATTGCTCTTGAACTGTGTACAACATGTCTCATATGAAACAACTTCAGATTTATACTATCTTAATTTTAGTGAGATACAAAAATTATACTCCATTTAACTCTATTTCCTCCTCTTCCACTTAGTACTGTTATTATTATACAGATCGTATGTGAATATCATAAACAACTTGCATTGCAAAAATTTTCATGTAGTTTTGGAAAGTTTCAATGTGTTCGTCTTTAAGGTCAGGGATCTTTTCTTCCATGATTCAGTCTACCAATAAGTGCACCTGATCCAGTGTTTACATCTCAGGATTTTCATCTGTGCAAGTTTGATTGTGATCTTTTATGTATCTTTCATGTCTATTTTAACTTTTGAACTTATGAAATATATTTACAGTAACTTTTAAATTTCATTTTGGTTCATTCTAACCTTTGTGTCAGTTTTAGCTTAGATTGATTTTGCTGTCTTATGAATGGTATTTTTTTGCTTTCATTTCATGCCTGAATATTTTTGATACTAGACATTGTTACTTTACAAGGTTATGTGCAAGATACTTGTATGTACCATAAATATTCTTGAACTTTTCTTATAGGCAAAATTTAAGTTATTCAGGAGATGTTTGAGATTTTGGGGCTTTACTTTTAGTATTTGCTGGACAAAGTAGAAACTATTTATTCCCGGGCTAAATAGTCACCCCTCCTGACTCAAAACTCTTCCAAATAGTCTGTCGAATCCCAGCGATTTATGAGCTTCATTCTGGCTGCTGGGAACAGGCACTATTTCCAGCTCTGTGTAGCACTGGGCACTGTTACCTACAGACCTCAGGTGATTCTTCCCCTGTACTAGACTAGTTCCCTTACGTGCATGAAATAATGAGCTGAAGACCCCAGGGAGGCCCTATGCAACTTCCTTTCCTGTATTCTATCTTTTCTTTGTGCCTTCATCTTGCATGTTCTCACTGTTGAGGCTTCTCCAAATTCACACCTCTGTCCCCTCCACTCAGTGAGTCAGCTGTGCTGTTAGGGCTCCTCCTCCCTCACTGCATCCTGCAAAACCTGTCCAGGAGGAAGCTGGATAACTGTAGCCCTTCCCTCTTTCAATTCCTTCTCTCAGAGATCAGAATTTCTGTTGCCCAGTGTCTGGATACTTGTCTGTTTTTTCCTATGTCAATGTGAGTCTAGTGTTTAAGGCACAAGAATAAATCCAATTCTTCTTATTCTATCATGTCACAAAGCAAAAGCCAATGAACTGAATTTTCATAGCCAATTATTTTTGATAAAGATTTATTTATTTTAAAGGCCGAGCGACAGGTACAAAGAGAGAGACACACACAAAGAGAGAGAGAGAGAGGGAGGGAGGGAGATTTTCATCCATGGGTTCACTCCCAAAATGGCTGCAATAGCTGGGGATGGGCCAGGATGAAACCAGGAACCAGGATTCCCTCTGGATCCTCCACAGGGGTGGCAGCAGCAGCCCAAGTACCTGGACCATCCTCTCTGCTTTTCTTAGGCCTTAGCAGGGAGCTGGATTGGAAGATGAACAGCCTGGACTCAAACCGGTGCCACATGGGAGGCTTATGCTGCTGGTGCCTGCCTAGGAATCTTGTTCCTTTAAAAAGACTGGGAAAAAAAAAAAAAACACAGAAATAACAACCTAGAAAACAGCCCCAGAATAAGGGCAGGGCTGAATAGGTCTGAATAGGTCTGAAAAGTCCTGTCTTGCACCACAGGGACTGCTGTCAGCAGGGGCTGCTCTGGGCCTTGTGAGACAGGAAAGACAAGTCACCCTGCTGTCAGAGACAGCAGACTGCTGGAGAAGAAAGGAACCTAGCTCATAACAAGAGCAGGCATAGTCCTCCATGGAACCCAATACTGAAAAGGTTAGAGCTGAGGGCTTGCCCACACAAGCTCTCACTGCCCATGGTGCTAGTGTTAGGATAAGGCTTGGGCTTTATCCTAGTTCTAAGATCAAAGATCCTGGCTGGACAACTACTACTGTGGCACAAGATCAAAGGGGCAGCCAAGGTGACCCTGGGATACCTGTTGTCCACCGTGTGGATAGCTGTCTATTTTTTCATATGTCTATCTGAATTGGTAGAATTTAAGTAAAAAGAATACATACAGACTTGGTTATCCTTTTGTGGCCCCAAGCAAAAGCCAATGAACTGAATTTTATCAAGTCATTTTTTAAATAAATAAACATTTATTAAAAAGATGAGGAGAGAGATATTTTTCCATTCACTGCTTCACTACTTGATTGGCAGCAACAGTGCTGGCTGGAACAGGCTGAAACCAGGAGCCAGCTACAAAGCGATTATCAAAGCCCACGATGGAGTGAGCATAACTGGGCCCGGCTGCACAACACTGGGCCCCTCATGGAAAGTCCTCAGTTTCTGTCCCTGCCTGTAACAGACTCAACCTAGCAAACACATGGATTCCCAGAGGTGCTCAGGTCACCTTCCATTTATTTCACCTCTCAAATTGGAAAGCTCTTATTATTCTCTAATTAAACAATCAAAATCTCAGGGAAGAATTTTAAAAAATTATTTCTTTCCAGACTCTTACTCCCAATAGGGAAGTAAGAAGTTGGAGTCCATTGTTGCAGTTCGTGGTTAAAACGATGGAGACATCCCAGCCCCATGTAGCTGGAACAGGAAGTTGGTTGGGAAGAGAATACAGGTCAGAGTGGGGGAGGCCTTGGTGGGCATGTAAGGCCAGCCTCCCAGCATCCTACTTCATGGCATCATCACACAGACACATTCAGATGCAAGCTGAGAAGGAGAAGTCAGGAACTCTTAAAGTGGATGCTCCGGGAGGAGAGGTCTTGAACAAAGCTTGCGTCACGCAGTGCCACACAAGGCACGTCTCATGCTGTGGCTGTAAACAATGAGGAACAACTCAGATCAGTCACCTTATGTGGTGACACTTTGAACAGCCCACCATATACTCAACATTCAAATAAAAAAAATTCCTCTCTGCCCAGTCCCCTCTCCCAGGTCTCACCTGTAGAAGCCGTGAGAGACATATGAGAATCCTGGGAATTCTTGCTGTCTGCGATAGAATAAAACAGGATCTGGTCAGAGCCAAAAGGGGTGTGGCTGAAGGAGGAATCATGGGGGTCTCAGGGACCTCCCCACGTCACACTCACCTGTAGACTCAGCATACCTCCTTCCATTATTAACTGTAGAATGAAAATACTATGCATGAGGCCAAGGATAAGGCAAGGCCATGAGGTCCTGGACCCCAAGGATGTTTCCAGAACATGACTGCAGGCCCAGGGCAAGATCAGGAAACAGGAGGACAGGAGAAGAGAAGGAATGGAGCAACCACCTCCCTGGAGGTCTGTCCTCAGTAAGGGGCTTTCCCCAGCGACCTCCAATGCCGGGAATCAGGTCCCCATCACGGCAGTCATCAGGGTGATGCTTCACTTTCATTCTCATACACACTTTGTAAGAGAGCACCAGCTAACAGGGCCCCTAGCCTGATAAGCATGTGTGTGCATGTAAGCACATGTATGACTGGTACTTCCCAGTAAGCAGGCAGCAGCTCCCAGTGGGACAAGGAAAACTCAGACTGCAGCCCTCACCCCTCCCTACCTGAGCTCTTCCTCTTCCTCATCACAAATGCAACCACAGCTGCTGTGACCACAGCTCCGAGGACCAGGCCAGCAACTACTCCCACACTGAGCGTGGTGGGCTGAGCAGGAGGCTCTGAGAGGGAAGGAAGGGGAGGTGAGGGCTCTGACCCCAGGGCTCAGCCCTGCCCCTGCTAAAGGCCCCAGCAGGGCTCTGCCCTCCCCTCAGAGGCCCCGCCCCTCCTGTCCTCCTCACCCCATCTCAGGGTGAGGGGCTCGGGCAGCCCCTCGTGCTGCACACGGCACGTGTATCTCTGCTCCTCCCCAGAAGGCACCACCACAGCCGCCCACTTCTGGAAGCTTCCGTCGCCCCCAGGCCTGGTCTCCACGAGCTCCGTGTCCTGGGTCTGGTCCTCTCCATCCCGCTGCCAGGTCAGCGAGATCTCCTTAGGGTAGAAGCCCAGGGCCCAGCACCTCAGGGTGGCCTCCTTGTCAGAGATGGGGTGGTGGGCCACATGTGTCTTGGGGGGATCTGAAGGGAAGATTCAAGAAATTCAGAGGTTTTGTTGGATCTCCCATGGACCACTGAAGTAGCCCCAGGACCATCCTAAGAATGGACAGGACACTTGGAGTGGGGCAGTGAGTGCAGACCTCAGACACCAGGCTGGACTCAGATATCTGGAATAATCGCCCATTCCTGTAAAGTTCTAGAATCAGAGTGAGCCCAGGTATGAAGCTCAGGTCTCAGAGAGTTCATGTCTGACCTGAGTGGAGGTCAAAGACTGAAAAGGGAAATCAGGTGGGGGCCCTGACACCCACGGTTGAAGGTCATACGGCTCAGTAATTTCGGGGATCCTCTTACTTTTCAACACGGCAGAGACTGGATCCCTTAATGATCCCAGAGAGGAGCACAGGCCCTCAGATTCACTGCTTCACACAGGATCTGGAAACCCAGCAGGATTCTTCCGCCTCCGGAGCTGAGGGAGGCAGTGCTCTAACCTGGATACTCTCTTGTTCTCTCTCTTGTGAGACTCGGGCTGGGAGACTGACCCGTGATAGGGAGGTGCCCCATGGTCCCACGTACCTACGCGCTGCAGGGTCTCCTTCCCCATCTCCAGGAACCCACGGAGCCACTCCACACACGCGCCCTCCAGGTAGGACGTGCACTGCTTCCCATCCCACTCGGGCTTCCAGATGTTAGGCCTGGTGTCCACCGCGGTCCAGGAGTGCAGGTGTTCATTCAGGACGAGGTAGTCGGCGCCGTCGTAGGCTAAGATACTGTATCCCCGGAGGAAGCGCCCGTCTGGCCCCACTTCGCAGCCATACATCCCCTGGATGGTGTGAGACCCTGGCCCCGCCGTGCCCAGTACTCAGCCCTGGCACCTCAAGAACTCCCCCGCTCCCAGAACAAATGCACCCAGTACTGCCCAGTGTTCCCAGAGTCCGTGCAGCGATATAATGGTCAGCGCCTTTTTTTTTTTTTTTTTTTTTTTTTTTTTTTTTTTTTTTTTTTTTTTTTTTGACAGGCAGAGCGGGCAGTGAGAGAGAGAAAGGTCTTCCTTTCTCCGTTGGTTCACCCTCCAATGGCCGCTGCAGCCCAGGAGCCAACTGTTTCTCCTGGTCTCCCTTGCCGGTGCAGGGCCCAAGCACTTGGGCCATCCTCCACTGCACTCCCAGGCCACAGCAGAGAGCTGGACAGGAAGAGGAGCAACCAGGACAGAATCCGGCACCCTGACCGGGACTACAACCCGGTGTGCCGGCGCCGCAGGTGGAGGATTAGCCTATTGAGCCAAGGCCCCTCCAAGGTCAGCGCCTTTTACCACCTCAACTGAAACCCAGCCACAGCGAGTCCCCCCCCTCCCCCCGCTCTTGCTGGTTAAGGAGATGCGCGTGTCCCAAGGCCACAGGGTGAAGCTCTGAGGAGACCTGGGACTGGAAGGGGCCGCGGACTGCAATCTGCCCGGGTCACTCACCTTCCTCGCTCTGGTTGTAGTAGATGCGCAGGTTGCTCAGGTACTCCCGGAAACTCAGTGTGCCCCATTCGAATCTCTGCCTGTGCATGTCCCAGTACCTAGGCTCCACCTGCCGCATCCACGGCGCCCGAGGCTCCATACCCGCAGCCGCGGCGTCGCTGTCGAAGCGCGCGAACTGCGTGTCATCCACGTAGCCCACGGCGAGGAATCGCGGCTCTCCCAGGCCAGGCCGGGACACCGAAGTGAAGAAATGCCTCATGGAGTGCGAGCCTGCGGGCGACAGGGGCTGGGGTCCTGCGCGGGACTCCTGGGTCCGAGGTGCACAGGACTAAAGGTGGTGAGGCTGCACAAGGTGACTGCACAAGGGCCTGGGAAGGGGAGGGGGCGGGACCGGGGCAGCCAAGGGGGGAGGGGGGAGTGCGGGGGGCGGGGAGGAGAAGCTACCCCGGGATCCGAGGTCCTGCGGTGCCGACTCCCGCTCCTGTCTCGCAGAGGTCATCTCCCTCCCAACCCCGCACTCACCCGCCCAGGTCTCGGTCAGGGTCAGGGCTCCAGCGAGCAGCGGGAGGAGGGTCCCAGGCGCCATGGATCCCATCATCTGAGTCTTGGGAGAATCTGAGTCACTGCTGCTCCTTGAGGATTTTATAATCGGACCGGCGGCACTGATTGGCTCCTTTAGAAACTAGTCGACCAATGAGAGTGAGAAGCGGGCCTGCGTCACGAGTGTCCAGGCAGAAGGATCTGTCTGGAATCCTGAGAGGGGAAATGCAACTCCAGGATGAGAGACTCCCTGCCTCTTGGCTTCTTGGCCCAGTCCCCCCCACACACACACCCCGCCCTCGGACCCAGACCCTGAGAGCCACGCGGCATCTGAGATTTGACCCCAGGTTTCTGTAGGACCCGGAACCGAGGCTCCTTCCACACCGTCTTCCCGAGTCCAGGCTCGGGGGTAAGTCAGTAGGTCTCAGAAGTTTTGGCTCTAGGATCTCTGTGTGTTCTTTGGAATTAATGATGACCCCAAGGATAATTTTGTTTAGCCTTATATCTTCCAACTTAGAAGCGACAATCATTTAAAAGATTTAACTCGTTAGAATATCCCATGGCACATTCAAATAGTCTCTCCTCTCTCTTGCAGGCAGCCCGTCATCGTGTTCCACCATGAGGTCTTGCCAGAGGACCAGTGCCAGGGCCTGGTGCATGAGCCTCCAGGGCTGTGAGTAAAATAACCTCTCCTCTTTACAGAGTTACCCTGCCTCAGGTGTTTCCTCTTGGGATTAAAAACCACTCAGTACATGGAGCAAAATTGGAGTAAGTCAAGGATAGCCTACAGACATTTTCAGAGGCTATGGTGTCAGTGTCTTATTTTCCGTGTCCCTTAGACCTCCTCATGCTGGATGATGGGAAATGAAAATGGTGGAGAAAACCTAAGGGGGAGCCAACAGGATGAAGGCAACCGGGGAGCCTGCATAAGGGAGAAGCCAAGGGCTGTTCAGGGAGAGTGAAGGAGGTCCGTGATGTCAGCCCTTCCCAGGTGTGTAAGCACAGAGGCCATGCCTGGCCCGGCCAGAGCTGTGGGACAGGCACCTTCACAAAGATGACGTGGTGGGCACTGGACTTGCTTGGATGTCTTCATGAGAATAAAGTGCATTTGTGTTACTCTAGTAGGACGCCACTGATGGGGTAAATGATACAGAACAGAGGTTTATTGTCACAGTTTTGCATGCTGTGAAGTCCAAGATCAAGGTCAAGGCTCTGGCAATGTCCTTCCTCCTGCACTCTCACAGGCCTGGGGGTGAGAGGGCAAGTGAGGGGGCCGCAGAGGCCAGAGTGGGCAAACTGCTCCTGGCCTGATGGCGTTCAACGTTAGCAAGTGTGGAATCCTCTAGACCCACACAACTCCCATCAGCCCCATCTACAAACGCCACCACATCAGGGATCATGTTTCCAACACACGAACCTTGATAGACAAATTCTAACCATGGAGGAGATGCTAGAAGTGAGTTTGGGAGAAATTTAGTAATGAGTATGAAAGAAACTAACCAAGTGAAGGAACAGACATTGCTTAAATCCAGGGAAATGAAAAAGTCAATTAACAAAAGATAATTACAGCTACTAGTCTGCTTGTTCCTAGCATTTACATGGTTATAAGAATGTAGACACTGAATCCTGAGCTGACCAAAATTATAAAATAAGTATATTGGGAAAGGGAACTATCCAATAAAAATGACACATAAAACTGAAATACAAAGGAGGAGAACTGTAGCATGCCGTTTCAAAGCACAGAAGTAGCAAGAAAAGGAGCAGTGAAAGAAATGGCACAGAATGCCTCTGGGGTCAGCCCTGGAGTCCCCAGAGCATGGAGATTCCTGGCCTCACAGGAAGCCTGCAGCAGGATTTGACTTTGTGACCATGTCCCTAGGTCCATTTAAAAGGATTCAATATTTTTATTTACTTTTCCATTGACAGATAATAGCTGTACATCTTTATCATGTTTCAGTACATTAAATATCACACAATTGAGGATATTTAGATTTTCCATCATCTCAAGTATCTGTTGTCGCTCCCCCTCTTCATGGAGGAACGACACAAACCCTGCCTAGGCTTCATATCCGAGTCACGGCACCATTATGTCGCTCCCCGTCTTCGCGGAGGAACGACACAGGACCCTGCGCTGTTCTTTTGTCTGCTCGGCCCTCCCCAGGTTTGCTGCTGGTTCTTCCCCGGGTTGGCTACCGTCCCTCCACCTCCCTGGAGGGGCGGGCCCCCTGCCACTTTCCCCACTTCCGCAGGGGAGCGGCACACCGCCGGCCGGCTCTCTCGGGGGCTGCACAGGTGTTCCCTCAGATGTTCCCCTTAGATGTTCCTGGTGCATGTTGTCTCTCTCCTCCTTTATAGTCCTCTTCCACCAATCCCAACTCTGCTACCCACATGCCGAGTACACTGCTCTCCTCCAATCAGGAGCAGGTCCTACAGTTTATTGGTTGAACTGGAGGCAGCTGTGTAGAAGCTGTTTCTCCCTTCTCAGCGCCATATTGTGGGAGAGCAGATGCATAGAATAAGTCTTAATTCCAGTAACTTAGTCTAGTCCGAGTTGCTCCCAGTTGCTCCCCACATCTGTCACTTCTTGCCAGCAAGGCCATCACCTGATGCAGCCCCAAGCCAGGAACCAGAACCTAGAGCCAGGACAAAACTGATTTCTTTATAACTTACCTAGTCGGTAATGTTTCCTTATTACCAACAGAAAACAAGAATTACAGGTGTTACAGATACATTAAAAATGCCAAATCTTCCTGTCCATGAAGGGGGTGTGTGTCTCCATTCATTTCTGTACACTTCAATTTATTTCATCAATGTTTTTACAGTTTTCATTTTGTAAAGAATTTTCTCCTCCTTGGCTAAGTTTATTCTGAGGTAGTTAATTTTATTTTTTGTAGCAGTTGTAAGTGGAATTAATTTCTTGATTTCTTGTTCAGAAAGTTTTCCATTGCTCTATAGAAATACTGCTGATTTTTTTTAGCATGTTGATTTTCTGTCTTGGCAACTCTAATGACATCATTTGCTGATTCTGTTTTTGCTGGAGTTAGAATTATTAATATATATATATATATGATGTGATCTGTAAACAGAGACAGTTTGATTTCCTAATTTCCATTTTCTTTGCCTTTTATTTCTTTCTCTTGTTTAATTGCTCTAACAAGTGGTGAAAAAGAGCATCCTTGTCTTGGTCTTTCTTTTTTAATAAAGATTTATCTTTCGTTCTTTCTTTCAATAGGCAGAGTGGCACTGAGAGTGGAGGGAGAGGAGAGAGAGAGAGAGAGAGAGAGAGAGAGAGAGAGAGAGCGCTCTTCCATCTGCTGGTTCACTCCCTAAATGCCCACAATAGCCAAGGTCAGGCCAAGCTGAAGCCAGGAACTCAGAACTCCATCTGGGTCTCCTACATGGTTAGAAGGGGTCCATGTACTTGAGTGAGTCATCCTCTTGCTTTTCCAGGTGCATTAGCAGGAAGCCAGATTGCAGGTGGAGCACCAGGACTTAAACCCATACTATAATAGGGGATGTTGGTGTTGGAAGCATGGTTTAACTCACTGCACCACAACGCCCACCCCTTCCCTTTTAGAGTAAGAGTTGTCTTTTATTCCTGATTTACCAAGATTGTTTTATCATGAATAGGTAAATATTTATTTTTATAATACTTTCTCGACAAGAAGATGATCCTATGTTTGTTTGCCTTTATTCTATTAATTGGGTAAATTAGATTGATTTTTATATACTCATTCAATGTTGCATCCTTGAATAAAATTGATGTGGTCATAGTATATTCTATTCCATTTGCTGGTACTTGGTTAAGGATTCATGAGAGATGTTTGTCTGAAGTTTCCTTTTTTCATGAAAAGCTCAAATTTTTACTAAGTTTACAAATTTGCAAAACCATCACCACAGTCCCATCATAGAAATGGTCCATCCCCTTGAAAGATTCCTTGTGCCAATTTGCAGTCACTTGTCTTCACACTCTCAGTTCCAGGCAAACATCAATTTGCTTTTGTAATCTATACATTTGTTTTTCTGGACATTTCATATACGTGGAATCAAACAATATATGGTCCTTTGTATCTGGCTTCTTTCACTTATAATAATGTCTGAGGTTTACACATTTTGTCCCTTTTATTGTTGAATATTACCCTAGGGTATGGATATACTTCATTTTATTTATCCATTCACCAGGGTGAAAAAGCTTTAATTACAACATCAATTTCATTTGAGCGGCTGGAGCCATTGATACTATCTGATATCTCTTGTGGGTGTATAATGTCTTTGCAGAGTCCTAAGACCATTTCTGAGAATAAAGTCCTGGAAGGAAGATGAAGCCAATGATCATGAACATTTGTACATTAATAGAAACAACCAGAGTGTGCTCCAGGTGAACTGAAATAGAATACATTGCCATCGGTGATGTGTATGAATGTCAGTTGCCTGCCTCCATTACCAACACTGTAGGCTGTCAGTCCTCGCCCCAGCACAACTGGTCAGTGAAGACCATTTCAGTGTTGAGCTATACTGCATTGCTTTCTTTATTAGCACTGTTGTGTGTATTGTTCATACACAGTCCGTTCACCCTCAGCCTAATTTTCTCTACCTTTATGAACATTCCAGGCCTCTCTCACTTCACTCTGTGACACAATTCTTGTTTTGTTATTTTGTATAACCTAGAGCACAATACATACTTAAGCATTCCCTTCATTAGATGCACCTTATTCAGCTTGTGTGGCCATAAAGGAAATCACATCAATGGGGTCTTAAAACACACACATTCACTTCCATGCGCTTCTGGAGGCTAGAGGTGCCAGACCAAGGTGCCAGGTGCTGGGTTCCCACCTTGCCGTCTTTGTCACAAGGCTTGCCTTCCCACCAGTCTCCAGTCACATGTGCCTTATTTCCACTGGAGACCTCACCACAGTGGCCTTTGGTGTCCATGTGTTGAGCCTTGCTCTGCTCATGATGTGTTTTCTAAGATGACAGAGGCATAACCTATAGCATCACCTCTCACATCCATACTTGCACTTTCAGCAACAATCCCTTCAAGGAAATCTTGGCTTTTCTGGTCTGCACCTCAGAACTCTTCCAGTGTCTACTCATTACCAGTTCCCAGGTCTTTTCTATCTTTCTTGTATTCATTAAAGTAGCATTGTGGGGCGGC